TATATATATATATATATAATTTAACTAGATCTTACTGTGCACGTTTAACCAAAGCATCCAGTTGTGAAAAATATGTATATATGTATATTCGTTGACTGCATTTGCATGGCCGGAAATTTCGTAAAGTTGGCAACATAGAGACAAAATCTCATCGATTTCAGTTACCAGATCCCCGGTTTATATTGAAACTCGATAGGTTGATACTTGGCTACACATCTAAACATAAGCGTTTTTATTTGCTTCGTAAACAACTAGAGAGATTTAGGCCGCCCGAATGCTCAAACGAACAGAAGGTAAAGCAATTCCACACCACGAGTGAGCTGACAAATAAATGTGTCCAGTGATTACAGGATTGGGCACGTAGCCGTTTGTATTACATACTAGCGTCATTCCGAATCTAAATGGCTTGAGCTATATTCTATTTCTAATTTTCTTTACACGCTAGACGACAATTTAACACAGGAGCCTAGTTTGGAACTGAAGGCTGGTCTCATAAATAAGTAAATGATCAACAAAAAACAAGCGATGATTGGAACGTCACAGTAGACTCTAAAATCCACTCTGGCTTTCCCGACAGATTTTCTGCCAAATGCTCAATACAGAATGATGAGCTTGAAAGTCACGGCACCCTGTAAAGTATCTCGTGGTATCAGTCAGCACGAACAATTATCGCGTGCGACCTCCGTAGTAGATGGGATAATAATGTCATCTATATATTCATAACGTTTAGGTATACCGAAGAAGCGTTGCCTAGATTCTGTGGTTGAAAGTTGACTACACAGAGTATGAAATGGACTAGATTAACCCTCAATATGATTCACTTAAATGGATGTCAGTTTCCACATGCTAAATTATGTCCCCCTTTTTGGCTTTATTGCTCACTCACTTGTCTTTGGCAAAACTAGTCTTATAATAGAAAGTGAGCTCAAAGGGTTTTCAGTTTAAATGAGTGATAAACGCACTATTTCCCTACATTTTCTCTTTTTTGATAAAAGTTTGTTAACCGCTTAGTCAATGTACTGATGTGAATCGCTCTCCTTTTGAATAAAATCTATCAGCATTTTACCCAGGCTCTTTTAAACAACGAAGTTTTGGTCGGTTTCAAGACCTCTGCAGCTGATTGTAGTCGGTTCCGTATTTTAGCCCTAAAACGTAATTTTCACCGTTCTAAGAGAACCCATCACCATACATGATGAATAATACTTTCACGAAACACTAAATGTTTATGGTTTCACATAAGTGCTTCGGCGGAAACAAGTGGGCATAATTTGCTCAACAATATTAGAGCGAAACGGCCTCTTTCTCCAGCGGTATTTTCAGCATGACATAATAACATGCTGTTGAAATTCATTCCCCGATTTCAGGTCTGGTTTGATACTTAAAAACAATAGTCGTGAGGTTTTTGTTTTCGTTCATTAGGATAAGACTGGAGATGCTGTTGAGGAAAAAATGATGCAACTCAACCAAAAGCCTTCTACTAGCAATGTACCAGAAGCATGAAAATGGACACATGTTGAAGGTTATTAAGTAAACAATACGAATCTGCATTTGACATCAAGTAAAATTGTCTACCTCCTCACGAAGATCATCAATTAGTGCAAGTAAAACTTACTTCAAAGAAGCACAAATATATATCAGTGATATAATAATCATTACTTGCTTGTGCAGAGCATTCTATACCATAGGTAGGTAGAACACTCCAGGTGAATGACCGGAATTTCCACACCACCAGAGGCTTGCATGCGAGTTACGTACTTCCGACTCTCGTAATTTGATTTCTCCAAACAAGTAACAAGGTTTGAGTTATGGTGGATGTCCGCCTAAGGCTTAGCCAAATATTCAATAGCTTTCGAATTATTATTTCGAGCAAAAAAGATGGCTGGATTGAGTTCATGTGAAAGAATAGTAGAAAACTGTCAGCGAAATAATAAACCTTGCCTTGTATATCTATGAAACTAATTTTTAGTGATGATATTTTGTGAGTTAGAATGATATAAACCTGGCCCATATGCAGCATTAATCAGCCAATTTCAGGGTATCTTTGGGATGCCGATTATTTCATTTGGGAAAAAAGCCTCAGAAATATGCCGTGGTATATTTTTCTAGATTCTAATTTAGCTTGCGTTTCCATCCGTAAACAAGGGCACATTCACCGAATACATTACCCAACTCTGGAGGTAAACACAACACGCACATTAAACTCAGAGTTGAAATCTGTTGACAAGGTAGGTGATTTGCCCCTCAAATAATGAAATTAGAGAAAAGTAGAGTTTGCCACTGTAAAAAGCGCCACAATGTGAAGATAGTTTTTGGATTAAATTCCTATTCTGAGCTTGTTTTCGGATTCATTTTTTGAATGCTTTATATGTTTACTCGGTTAAAAAGATTACCAGCTTGATGCTTTTTCCATTTTTTGGGAGCAGAAATGACAAATTGTTGTCTACTTAAACCCACAGAGTACAAAACGAATAAAACTTCGTGACATCGAGTAGTCTCGTGGTGTAATTACAGGTAAAAAATGGCTAACTGTTGCGTTTCAGACTGGGTTAGAGCCATAACACAAATTCACTCGCATTTGGCATTTGAGGAGCTTAATGGTAAGGTCAATCCAATATTGTTCGTCTTTTTGAATGCATTTTCTTCCTTCTTTTTGTTGTTACTATGAACAATAAAAACTAAAACTGAGAGGTAAAAATGAGCTCACGTCTTTTACTCCTGCATGAAATTGTACCTTGAAGAACCTTGCCGAATACTACATAATTGTGCCAGTCAGACCGCCTATGGTAAAATGTTTCACTTTATAAATGAGAATTATAAATAAACGGGAATTACGCGGATATTTTGCACTCGCTAGCCAAATGAGAAAACATATCAGGTTTAATTGTAGATAAGCTCATTTATCTTGTAAAACTTTATAAATCCCTTAGTTTGTCCAAAATCATCTATTGGGACCCATATTCATATTTGTTAAATTTTATATCATTCGCTATGACCAATATGCACATAAGCAATTCCACCTTTTTGCCATGAATATGTGTTGCCCATGGTCCAAAGCTGATGGGAAAGAACAGTTTTTATCAACGCATTACTACCTAAGCAAAAAATCCTACCCATCAAAAAGAAGAGTGGATGCGCTCATATGCAAACCAGTTGCATTATGCACCGTCAAATGTATATCAGCAAGCAAACTGCAGATTGTATACTAACGAGGTCCATTGTCATTTAAGAGCAGAGCATATAGGTGCATTGGGTTGCGAAAATTGCAAAGCGGGAATCCCATTCGGTGATGACATCTACTGATCGCCGTCATAATCTGTCGACTAAAACGCTTCAACTCAGAGGACAAATCGAAATAATTGCAGGTGCATTTGCCCCAGTTTTGTAATTTACTGCAGTCCAAAGTCGATGCAAAAAGATGCTGCTTGATTATAGCCCTAGAGATACTTCATGTCAATGAAACAATGCAAGACAGGTCCTTAGTTAGATGGGCATTTTTTGTATGACGGACGTTAGCCCTTTAGTTCTCATCAACTTATAATTCAGATTAACTACCGTGCTTATCGAATATTTATATGGTTTACAAATATGCTGAGTTTGTTTCTGGATTTCCTCTGGATCCGACCCTGGTTATTAAAACTACTATCATAGCCCCTAGCTTGTCCGGGCATGCACAGCAGCGACCGAATTAATAAATACAACGAAGGCTATCCAAACAGTTAAGCAGACTAGTCAGAGTAAGTTTTAACCTGTCCTATCTTGATGTTGCGTGAATTGTGATGCCTCAAAAGCGTGTCTTTCTCCAATCAAACTAAAAATTCAAGTCACATTTTTACACATTTAATGAAATATTAGGAGAACCAGCTCCGAACTTAACGAAACTACATAGCTACCAATGGAATAACCGTTTTACGTGGAGATGATTTCATTGGTTAGTCTTCACTCGCCCTTGACAGATAAGTTGTATTCTTGGTATCACTTTTGATCGCTTGTGCGCGACAGTGATAAATAGATCAGCTGCCTCGCACGTTCATTGACTTTTCTGCTTTGGTCAAGCGCACCAGGCGATCAAGCGGTTATCCAGATCGAGGCTCACAGTAATAAGACATAAAGGGACTGCGGTCCACAACATTGTGTGGAGTTGCGCCAACTGGCAGTGCTCACTGATTCTTCCAAATGACAGTCTACCGGTGGGGATACTGGTGGATTCTTTTCGACTTTGGTATTGAAGACCTTCTGGAAATAAATAATTTTACTTCAACCGTATAGAATATAAATCCTTTGGACAAATCCATTACTTCACTACTGGTGTGATTAGACTAAGTTTTTTTGATGCCTCGTATGGGTTGGGATGTGGTTTGAAGTTTTGCTGACACGTAGTCGATTAAGCAGTGTTTTCTTTCATAGTGCACATGTAAGCCCTACCTAGCTTATGTTCCATCGCCGCGAAAAAACCTGTTACTACCTTGA